GACGTCTCGTATGCATACTGGTACTTGCCCTCTGCATCGGCCGCCTCGTTCACATAGCTGCGTATTTCAGCATTTTTGTCAATATTATCAGCGCTCACGAAGGCCAAGAAGACGGTTAAGATTAACTAAAGTTTTGTGAAAAAAATGTGTTATTATTAAAAAAATTTCAAAAATGTAGATACAAAAATCGAAAGTTGTGCAATACAAAAATGTAGTGGGTAATTACAGCGGCTCACGTATTAATTTGATGATGATTTTATGTCTTGAGGAAATTATAAATTTTTAAAAAAATTTTATTGTTGTTTTACTTACAAGCTTAAACATTTTATTTTTTTAAATTTAATGTGTTTTTGAAGAAGTGCAGATAGTGTGTGTACAGGAGACCGAGTGTCCGAACTGCTTGCAATGGTGCATTTCGCTGCGGCTTTTATACTGAGCCCAAATTAGGTACTCTGCTTAAAGCCAAAAGGGTTTTCGTATTTCTTTCTACTTTTTTTGGACAAAACAGGCTAAAAGAAACAAGTTCTATAATGTATATGTTGCATACCGGAATTATTGCTTATGCATCCTTTACAAAACTTACAAGACAATAAATTCCCAAAATATTTTGTCGTTTATTGATATTTTTGGCAATTTGCCAACTCTGTTGTCAAGCTGCGCTATTGATAAGGTCATATCTGATACCAGTTATACCCATTCTGATATTACACAAAAAAAAATTAAATAAGTATATCAATATACAACAAAAGACTGAATGCAATGTTAATGTCAAAATCTTGCTAATTTGTTAAAAAAAAATTTTAATAAATTTTAAATGTCCTGTGGGCTATTTTAAAAATTAAAATTTATAAGACAGACTACAGATTAAAATGGAATAACAAAATAAAACTTAATTAATAAATCCAATTTCATAAAATTTAAAAACTTTTCATTGTCTTGAAAAGTTTATTACTTTTCATAAAAATTATTTTATAAAATATGATTATTCTGTATACATAATCAACATATGAAGAAAATGCATCAGTCATTATTATTTCTATAAATAAATAGTAATCTCTCTCAATATACTAAGTTTTTCTTTGAGTCTAATTACTTCAATTAATAGTAATATTTAATTAATCTTTATGTTTACTTATATAAATAAGTTGTAATAGTAAATCCAGATGCTTTTATAAATTGATGTATTGCATCTTCTTATAATCTTCTTAGAATCTTCTTGAACTAATATAAGGTGCCCATCTTAGTGTCTTCGTTGTATACGCAACAGTGAAGACGCAGCCTTCAGCAAGAATTTGATGGTGAAATTCATTTATCTAGGTTAGGTTAGGTTATACCGGCAATTCCTAGGGGATTTACTTAGGCCTATTGGCTTATTGTGTTATCGTATATAGAGGAAAACTCAGGGTTTAAAACCAACTAATACCTTTGGCGATGCTCAAAATGCTGTTAAGTGGCAGGTCTTTAATTGAACAAGATCCTCAAGAAAAGTGTCAGGCTCCTAAAGTGTAAAGTGTCGAGTCGCCGCAGTGCATGAGCTGGGCATAGACTGAGCAGATGAGAGGCACTCTCATCGTCTTTCTGAGAGGCACTCTCATCGAATCACACTAGTTAGCACACCGCTGAAATACACGAACTCTTTGAGTAAAAGTTGACCAACCCAATAAGTGCCTAATTTCGCAGGATGACAGCTCTGTCAGGTCGAAGGGAAAAGAGCGTACTAGTAGAAGAATTTTAAAAAAATTTGAATCGAGTGATACTATGTATTATAAATCCTGGAACTATTAAATGTTTGTGTCAGTACTATTTCAATAATACATGTTATGGACTATAGATTGTAGGGTCAAGTATATAGACTTATCGAACCTTTTTAACACATTTTTATATGAATTTTGTATGAAAAATGGCACACATCGCAGTACTTTTGTCGAATTAGTTACAATAGTCTAAACATAGCGCTAGGCAAATTGTAATAATCTATTGTGAATTAAGTAAATAGAATTAATCTTTGTAAAGGTTTCAATTTTAATAAATGAGTTTATTTTAATCCAGATTTAAATTACTTATAGTATTTTAAATTATTATTAAGAGCCTATATCATTCAATTAAAAGCACAATCATGATTGTTTTAAAAACATTCTGAAAGAAATTCAGTGTTGGTCTGCATGTACTATTATTATTAGTATTGGATATGGCACTGCGGCCGTCAGGTCTATTGTGCTACCTTCTGGGTTTAGAGTATGTCTCTAAGCCCTATTGTTTTGATAAAAAGTAGTATAGTATTAAAAATGTTCTTAAAAATGTATTAAATGTATCTGGGATAATCAAACATATTCTTACTATATAATGTATAGAACTTTTTGAATAAAAGACATATTGCTGATAGTAAATTCATTTAACAGTGGATATAAGAATTACTTGCACAATATATCTGTTTAAGTCGCAGTGCTTTCTGGTCTTCGATAATAGTAAGAGTTCCTTTGACTGCACTGGTTCACTGGTATATTAGTTATTAGTTTTTTTTATGATTTTTACATTCTATATAATATTTTATTATATTCCAAATATTTTTTAATATAGGGATATACGACCAAAAAAAAATTTTTTTAGGACACCCAAACCTTTGTCACCTATATATCAGTAAATACTGTAAATAGACCTCCATCAAGGTCTATCAAAGTATCACTTTTTGAATTTGAAGATCTTTTAAAGAATCTGAAGAATTTTGAATATAACTTATATTATTTTAAAAAAATTACAATATTTTAAATAATCATTTTACTAATAAAATTATATTTAGATATCAATGATTTTATGTCGATTAATTTAATAAATTTTAGTTAATTTTAAATTGGAACCTGTTTTTTAACGAAACCTAATTTATTTATTTATATATTTTAATTTATAAATTAACTCAATTGACAATAATTGATCACTGCGAAAAACTAGAAAGTATCTAAACTATATGTGACGCATAAACGACAGATAAATATATTGTGACCACTCTAAGGTTTTTGTTTAAAAAATTTATATTCAGTTTATCTACAATCATATTTTGTTTAAAACATAAAAAAAAATTTTATTTTTGCTCTAAGGTAGTTTAGGGCAGATGTGAATTAAATTTAAATATTCTTTGAATAGTTTATAGATACGCATATATTTTACGACCACGTAATCCGGTTGTAAGATATTTTAAAAGTTTATCTAACTATTGTCATCTATTGCAGGTTATAGAAAAAGATTTGCAAATATCCAGAGAGCACATTTTGCAAATCCCTAATTAACTTTATGATAGTTTTAATTTTATAGTTTATAAAGAGGTTTTTTCGAACAGTAGTAAATTACAACAACAAAAATTTTATTTTTTATATTATTTTAATTAATTGAATTTTTGGCTGACCATACAGCTGTTTCGAGTATTGCCAAATACCCATCATCAGTGATCTTGGAAATAATTCTTGTATTTAATTATTCGTAAATACTTATTTTTTGAGACTGCAAGTACCAGGAATCAAACTCGGGTCCTGTCAAATGTTTATAGTTTATAAATATCTTATTTGTTTTTTTTTGTTGCAATTTGATTTTACTTCACTTGAAATTTCTTATATACATTCGATAGAGTTTAATCCTTAGAGACATATAATCGTATTTAAAGGAATGATTCGCAA